CTGGTGATCCAAGGTATTGAAACCGGGGGAAGGAGGTAGCTTCGCAAGAGTCACAAAAGCACGCCCCGCTGCAACTCTTGCTGGAGAGCAACTGCACAGATATGGAGCATCAAGCACCTCTGCTGCGTGTTTTAACATTATAGACGGATGTTTAGCACTTGCGTGGCCCTCAGTTGCCAGCCTGCACGGAAGTACGAATACACAGATCAAAATCACACAATCAACGGTACAGCGTGCATTAGGTAGCACCACTTGCTATTCGTTCTCAAGTCAGTGAGCTGGCGTACATTGGTGACCTACCACCAACGTGAAGATGCCACAATATCATTCATATTGTTTATTTAAAATTGCTTTAATAATCACACAAAACACCAGCAACCCCGTAGCGAAAAGGAAAACCTAGAGGAAACGGAGGCCATGGACGCCCGTATTGCAACCCGCAGCAGCCAACGAGAACAAGGGGAATGCGTAAAATGGCCGGGAGACCGACAGCAACAGTTAGTTTCGGAGAGACCGCTGCGCAAATCAACCCCCTAGAAATATTTGCAGCTATTTTACCGTTCAACGGCTATGAGGGACATGCGTGGGCGTGAGCAGCGCAGCTCAAAATTGTTCCACTCCCCATGCTGAAGTTACACTGCTCTGGTCTGAAGGGGGAGCAGCGCATATACTTATCTGTGTTTGGCATCAGGGGCTATTTCTCTCTATACTGTGATGAGGAGCCGTCCCTTTATATATGGCTGGCTGGGGGCCACCTCGAATTACAGTTTCAATTTTTCGCTACGCCCTACAATTTGTGACTGGCTCGAGCCCTGCTCATGTGGCTAAGGAAGCGGCGCAGTGTCAGCAGCTCAGCATCTATATTTATTAGCTTGGGTTGCCCGCTCCAAAAAAGCGGCTCAGCCCACTGGAGCGCCGCAGATGACGAGTGACCACGCCCCTGAGGCGCTAGCAAGACGGCATAGCAGTCTGTAGCAGAAGCATTAAAGCACTTGAGCATCCCTGGAGGATTTATGCTAATTTCCTTTCTCATTTTTCTTCATTTTCCTCTTATTACCCTCGGTCAGTCATAAATTCTATGCTGCCTACCACAGGCCACCTGGAAACTGGCGGGAAAGACAGCTGCTCCNTCGGTCAGTCATAAATTCTATGCTGCCTACCACAGGCCACCTGGAAACTGGCGGGAAAGACAGCTGCTCCTTCGAAATTTCCGAAGCCCATTTAACCATGATACAAGTACAAGCTTCACACAAGCCATGCTACAAAATAACATAACCGCTTTGTGAGCTGAAGCTGCACAGAACCTGAGTATGCGTTGACACATGGCAGTTGTCCTCCTCCTTTTACTCTACATCCCAATAAATACAAATCAAAAGCAGTTTGCTTGAGAGAGGAGGCACATAAGCAGGTAGTGAGGCCGATTCTCTTATGAGTTCAGTTGTTGTATTCTTTCATGGCAGCTCGAGCAGTGAGCAACAAAAACCCCACATCTCAAGACGAAACGACCTCCTTTGGATGCATGTTTTGGTATCATCAAAAGCAATAATTAGAAAATTACTTGCCCCCCATCATCATCATTTAATAATAGGAGCAATTCTAACTTTAGACAAATCTTCCTGTCACGCACTGTATTCGCCTTGCTAATGTCCGGCATCAGGATCGACGAGGAGCTCATATTGTTCACACTGCGCTTACTCGCCGGCAGATTCGTTTGAACTTTTTCTGCATTTGTCCGCCATTTGTTCAATATAATCAACAGCTTTTTTGCTGCATCTCAGGTGTATCGAGAGCTCTGTCGGGCACGACAAGCGCCATCGTCCATATGCTTCTGATCGTTGAAAGCAGCCTTCCCGTCGGCAATTT